AAGGATAGCTACATTATAAACTGCAAAAGAGATATTTTTTCAAAAACCCATATGACCTGCTCTTTAATTCTTTATTTCAATCCTGTTAAGTTGCCAGAGTGTTGATCACCTGGTCATCAAGTAATAGAACATGTTTTGAAAGTCTGGTTTACCCTTTGTAGACAAATTGAGAACTGTTATTTAAAGAGCTCAAATGGCACCGCATGACAAGAATAATCTAGTAATCCACCTTACCACACCACTTTTTCAAAGTCACTTATGCTTTCTCTAACTCATCACTTTGTGCTGATGACATTGATTTTTTTACTGCTTGAACATCTACAAATTAATTCTGGGGTTATACAATGCAGTGCTATTAATTTTTCATTTAATTGCGATGCACTAATGCGTAGCAGCAAGCTGTCCCTATTTCTATGGAATTCCCATCGCTCTGGATATGGTCATTACGGTACTGTTATTCATTTACCAGGAAGAACACGGCAGTAGCACAGAGAGCCAGACAAAAGCTGTTTTTAGCTGCAGTGTATGTAATATTCACTCAGAAGTTGTTTTTTTAATTGTATGTGACTGCGATATAAGCCAAGATGGAGGTATGACGTCAGTAAAATGAGCAATTATTGCAGCAGACCTAATTTACATTTATACTCCTAGCAGACACTTACCAAAGAAACTTATAATAAACTGCCTAATATCACAAAAGAGGAAATTAACAAACCCAGAAGACAAGAAGGGCAGTACTCAAGACTAGGGGAATATTACTAGGAAACCACTGGCTTCTAATATATATATATATGTTTTTAGTTGATAAATTACAGTTCAACTTGTTCAGAAGCAGTTTAGTTCCTGTTTCAAGCTGCCGTTATATTGATTCTTATTATTTGTGACACATAGCCTAAATGTCACTCTCAGAATAACAAAAAAGTCAAATATTGTGTTCCAGAGTGTTATTGTTCCAAAACGTCAGCCTTGTCAGAATTTGATATAACCAAGAAATGATCTGCAGTTCATTGAGGAAGTCAGCTGCAAAAGATCTAACTGACTGACTTACGGAGTGAGTCTGATTCAAACCACAAATTGACATGCAAATCTTTTTTGACTGACTCATAAAAAAGAACTGATTCATAAGAGTCATTTGTTTGTGAAATGGACATCACAGCTTGCTTTCACAAACAAATGACTCTTATGAATCCAGAAATCAGTGATGTGCAGTGTAAAGCCACCTCATAATCGCAAAACACTCATTTTGATTTGTGCCAAATGAGAGAGCGCATGTTTATTTATTTGCACATTTCCCACACATTGTTAATTTCAGTTTAAATAAATTAGACTTGGTGTATAAATGTTGTTTATAATGAATGCCGCAATAACTTGTTTTTTTTTTCTGGCATCCTCATACTATTAGACGAGTATTGGACTTACTCTCAGGGGTGGTGACAGACAAGACCACCAAAGCATAAAAATGCCCGTTGCCATGGGGATTTGAATATTTAAAATAGTCATTAACATATACTGTGCATCTCCAAGGTCTGAACTGCATGTCTAGAAAAGTGTGCATGTGCATGTGGTCTCTTGAGGCATGTGAAAAATCAGTTTTAAAATTCAGGATGACAGCTAGACTGAATTCCACTGGAGATGTGCATGTTTGTAATTTACAAAAATCAAATCAGTCAAATTCAGGTGTCTTTTAACCTCTCGCAATTTTCATTCACTGTGTATATACAGTGTATACTTTTTTCTGCCTTCATTCTCCCCATTTCTCACTCCCTCTATTTTTTATCTATCTATACTCTTTCATCTGTGGGGTATAGGGTTGATGCTGTGGCTTCCTGCTGGTTCTTTTACTTTGTTTGAAAAACAGGCCTTTAGAGAAGACCGATGACGAGAAAAGAGAGAAATAAGGGGGATGATGGTCTCCACCTCTCACTCCACTTCCCTAAAGTTTAGTTTGCACCCCACAGAGACAGTCTGGTCAAGATGACCAATAATGAACTTTTTGATCTTGTAAAGGTCACACACACACACCCTGAACGCAATACAAAGTAGTATGGATTTTACTTATATTTTACTTACTTGTTTTGATATAATGTATATAATATATTTAATATTAGCCTGTGTTATATATTATAATAGACCTGGATTTTATATTGAATGTCAAGTGCCAACCCAACACAGTACCAGTAATGTTACAAAAACAAATAGAAATGCTTGAAAGAATAGAAAGAATCCTCATTTGGCAGTAGTAGACATATTAGCAGATGACTGGCTTATCAATGGCTATAAGCACAATGATTGTCCTTCTTATTAAAAACTGGTTCTAGCTGGTCTGGGCATGACAAATTTAATGGTATCAAGTCACTGCTGACTTTGCTGAGGACCTGTTCCAAGGACTCGTCTAATTGTTGTGGCCTTAGCTGATATTCAAGGAATGTGTTGTGGTCGTTCATGGGTGTAAGTCCATCATCTGATCTGGAAACGGATCAGATCTGGCTGACTATAGCAACCTTGGGATAAGGATGAGATAGACAGTGTAACGTAGTTTGTAGGTCGGGAAGAAGGAGGCGGGAACCAGCGAACATTTACACAAACTTTAATAATAACATAAACTCAAAACAGCGCGACAGCCCCTCGCGGACGACTGTCGCGCACAAACAAAACCAAAACACAAAATAAAATCCAGGCCTGGTCCTCTCTCGTCTTTCCCTGTCGTCACTCCTCCTTTGTATCCTTCCGGAGCTCCTCCGTGAGACTCGAGACCGGTGAGTGGCGCAGGTGTTGCGCATTCGCAATTACTCCACCGGCCTCGCTCTGTTCCCACGGCTCTCGGCCCCGCCCCTCTCGTTACAGACAGATTAATATAAGCATAGATGCCATTTCTTTTTCAGTGTTTTCTTTGAAAGAGACATCTGAGTCAGCGTTCCTTTTTTAAAACATTGTGAACTGAAAACCCAGCTGTGAGATCCCACCTCTTTGAAAGAACAGAAATTAGTGAGAATGTTAATTGTGTGCATGTGTGTGAACATCTATCTTAAGGATTCATTATGTATATGGGTATTTCAGGACAAGTTCATTAATTAACTAAATGAATAATCTTTTAGATGATTTATGGCGACTGGAGTCTTTAAATAATTATCACAAATGCAATATATGCACTTTCTTACACACATCTGTTCTTTATCCATTTGTGAGGCCGGCATCATTTGAGTTTGTTCTCTTTTCTCTCTACTGACCGAAGGCCACAGTTCATTTAGTCTACGAAATGTGCTCAAACTGTAATCAAAACACAGGTGAGAATGAAACCATCTTTGGTTTTAAATAGAGGTGCAGAATGGATTTTAATGGAGTGGAGCAGGATGCTCCAAGGAGTTTATTGCAAGTGCTCTATATCCATATTCTCACTGTGTGTTCAGTCACCGCACACTCAAGATTCATTAGGGTTCTGTATGGAATCTTTTCATCTAACAGTCTAAATGCACAGCTTGGTGGAGTGGACTCATCGTTTCTGTATCTGGTTCTCTCCACCACCCCCATCCCTCCATTATTGTTATATTTTTTCATCTTTATGTAACATTAGCCTACCTTCTATGCATCCACCCACCTTTCCCTCTTCCATCACCTATTTAAATAATTATCACAAATGCAATATATGCACTTTCTTACACACATCTGTTCTTTATCCATTTGTGAGGCGGGCATCATTTGAGTTTGTTCTCTTTTCTCTCTACTGACCGAAGGCCACAGTTCATTTAGTCTACGAAATGTGCTCAAACTGTGATCAAAACACAGGTGAGAATGAAACCATCTTTGGTTTTAAATAGAGGTACAGAATGGATTTTAATGGAGTGAAGCAGGATGCTCCAAGGAGTTTATTGCAAGTGCTCTATATCCATATTCTCACTGTGTTTTCAGTCACCGCACACTCAAGATTCATTAGGGTTCTGTATGGAATCTTTTCATCTAACAGTCTAAATGCACAGCTTGATGGAGTGGACTCATCGTTTCTGTATCTGGTTCTCTCCACCACCCCCATCCCTCCATTATTGTTATATTTTTTCATCTTTATGTAACATTAGCCTACCTTCTATGCATCCACCCACCTTTCCCTCTTCCATCACCTAAGCAGTGTTATTCCAGAACAGAGCAATGAAAGAGAGGAACATCCTAATGAAGGCTTTCATAATTACTATTCCGAGACTTCATCAGCCATCAGTTAATTAGACAGAGACGAAGGAGGGTGAAAAGACAAATGATAAAGAAAAAGAGGAAAATTAGAACAAATGAGAAATTCTGTGTAACAATTTGTAACAAATCTGGGGTCAAAACAATTTTCGCTCAGAAATTGCTGTTAAATGTCACAATTAATCACAAAGAAACAGCAAGTAACAAGTTGAATTAAAAGCAAAATGCTGAAGTAGAATAACTGACATTGTATTTTCTGCTAAAACAATCTTTATTTACAACTTCAAAAAATATTACTTTACAGTGTACTAAAAATACAAAAACATTTTAAATGTAAAAAGTATATCTATTTTTTTGTGCTGTATGCTGTAGTTACAGGCATCCACCAGCAGGAGCTATTGGGGTCACGCTAACCAGCCAAACCTTGAACCCCTCAGTTGTTTTATTATGTATATTTGGTGACAGTGGTTCCTCTTTACCCTTTCAAAAGAGGGCGCCGCTCTTCCAAATTTTCTCACTACTCTTTCTACTTTTTTTGTTCATTCTCTCATGCTGCCCCTCCCTCTATTTATCTAAATATTGGTCAACCCCAGTCAACTCCCCTCCAGCCCTCTCTCCTCCCTCTACTCTGTCTGTCTGCGAATCTATATGAAGAGAGTTTGAGTTTGTGTCCCAGGTTTCTTAGAGGGGAAACACAAGCTGATAGAAAGAAAAAAGCACTGAGGACAAAAACTGAGGATGGAGGAATATTCCAGTTTCCTTACACCTTTTCTTCTTACCTGAATGTATGCATGCAACTCTTGTATATTGAATGAAACTTTATTGCTGCATGCAAACTCAGAGAATTGTTTCTGCATTACACAAAATATGTGTATCTGCATGTGTGTTTGCTATATGCACATACTTTATTACGCTTGCCTTTGAACACTGAACTTCTGAACTTCCCTTGACGTTTTTCCCTGTAGCATGTGGCTCTGATTTGGATTCTTTGCTAGACTTGTTTTCGTTCACTCGGCTCTTTTGAAGTTGTTTCTGTTTCGAGTCATTGCGCAGAAGAATGGATTCCTCTGCACTTCACTCTCTTTTATTTATGCTTTTCACCACCTTCTCCTATGTTCTTGCTGGAATGGACTCTTGTTATGATGAGGAGGGCGTCCCGAGCCGCTGTTTGCCTAAATTTGAAAATGCGGCCTTCAATCGTACAGTGATAGTTTCAAATGTGTGCGGTATCCCATCTGAGGACTATTGTATGCAGACGGGGTCCACGCGGTCATGTCACTTCTGTGATGCCTTGGACTTGGAACTAAATCACAACGCTACTTACCTGACAGACTTCCATACGGATGAAGAGCCTACATGGTGGCAGAGTCAGTCCATGTTCTATGGAGTTCAGTATCCTAATTCAGTCAACATCACATTGCATCTTGGTAAGACACCCAGTTGGGCTTTAATATCAATCAAACAATTGGAAAAGATTAGTATTTCTGCACATTGAATGAATATATAAAAACCATAAACCAAAAGTTGTACTTATTTGTGCAAAAATACCGAACTTTGTACAGAGAAGTGTTATTGTCAACTAAAATGTAAAGTATTTGAAATTGTTTTAAGTAATTGAACTGAAATAAATATTAGATGGAAAGCTTAAACTTGGAAAAGTTAAGAAAATTTTTAATGTAGTATTGGAACTTGTTTAAGCAAATTGGAAATTGTTTAAATTGTTTAAGTGTTTAAGCTAGTACTAAATTGACTAAAATTGATTGAAATAAAAATCAATCAAAGCTATATAAATGTAAAAAAGAAAAAAAGATCACAAAAAATGATTGAAACAAACTAAAATTAAAATGAATACCGAGGACATAGAAATAAAAGACAGTTTAAAACATTAATAAATACTATGCTATACTATTATATAAATAACACTAAAATAACACTGGTATACAACACAAAATTGTTAATTGGTGAAATGATTGCTAAATATTAATACTAATAATATTTAATTTGAGACAATAAAAAGCTATCTGGATAGATTATTAGCATTAAACACCTTAATACTGTATGTGTCAACTGTCCTCCTACAGCTTGTCTGCAGTGGTAAATTGTATCTGAATGTTGTGAGCCATCCAAATGCATCTTGTTCTTTATTTTACTAAACCTGCATGTAGGGCTACCTGCTTTTACTATATTGAACATTCAACTAAGCATTCTATACTGTGTAAACTGTATGCTAACTGAACAGCAACTAAGCAGCAAGAGCCTTGCTAGTCACAATGAGTTTCCCAGCTGTGAATTTGATGCTGCCTGTAAATATGAACACCTCAGAAATCTAATGTCATTTTGGTGGCCTATAAGATTAGATGACTCTGATATCTCAGCTGGTTTCTTGTTCTATTACATTATTGCCCTGCAGGCTTTACGCTACAATATTTTCAATCACAATAAGTCCCACATGTTTCTATGAATGAATGTTTGAAATTTAAAATGTTATTTGTATTCTGTAAGGTGAAAGTTTGCTATTGTTTTTCTACTTTAACCCTCAGAGACCCAGCACAGTAGAATTGTGGTGTTTGTATAAAGCAATTAAAAAACACCTACATTTCACTTTAAGTGATATTAAAACAACTATTTTAATTCAAATTTAGTTTGATATGAATGTTTATTGCAGTATTTAAATGGTCAAATAGTGAAATTTCTTAACTTATCGTGACTGTAAAACTTTTACTTACTGTATTAAAAAAAAACAGTTTTGAAATTTTGCAACCCTAAATGCCCAGTGGTGCAATTTTTCAATGTTTTTCTATATTATATCCTGTTGCAAACGTTTGCCTAAAATATATATATATATATATATATATATATATTTTTTTCAAACGTTTGCAACAGGATATAATATAGAAAAACATTGAAAAATTGCACCACTGGGCATTTAGGGTTGCAAAATTTCAAAACTGTTTTTTTTTAATACAGTAAGTAAAAGTTTTACAGTTTTTTTTTTTTTTTTTTTTTTTTTTTTTTTTTAATATAGCTTCCTAAAGACATGCTTAAGGGTAAGCCAAAGTCATGCCTTCAGTTCCCAGAGAATGCACGCAAAATGTATATCTTGAATGCAGTATAAATAGCTTTGAAGACAAGTGTCTGCAAATATGTAAATGCATAACATATGAAGTTATAAAATTAGTGTGAAAAACACACATATACACACACAAACTGTGGATGGTCTCTTTACATGTTACAGGCTACAGATGGTTTCTTCCTGCCTCAGTGGGCAGTTCTAAGCTGAAGCAGATATGGTTGAAGTCAAAAGTTTGGCTATAAAGGCATACTTTATTTACTACACTACATGTCTTTGCATCTTTTTCTTATCATTCTCAAGTACTGTCAATACCAAAACCATTGATTCATAGCGCAAACGTACGTCTGTCATTCTGATTCTCTTCTTATAAAACTAGCTGAAATCACAGTGCATGTGTACCTTGTGGTTATTCTCATAACAGTTTTCCACCTCTGCACCATTCATAGCGCAAACGTACGTCTGTCATTCTGATTCTCTTCTTATAAAACTAGCTGAAATCACAGTGCAGTGCAACAGTTTTCCACCTCTGCACATCAAAAGTTTAGATGTGATTTGGTGATTCTTTTAGAAGCACATTTTATGAAAGAGAGAGAGAAGAAAAAATGGGAGATGAAAGGGCATTTAAATTATGTTTCAACAGGCTAATCATGCATAAAAGTGTATGTTGTTGTGTTTGCTCTGATTCAAAGATGCCTTGCAGTTCGTTGTCTATGAAAGGCACTCTCACATTTCCAAACCAAACAGATACATCCTAGGGAGGCCAACACAGACAGACACACACACTGTGGAAAGAGCAATGGGGGTGGTACAGAAAACACTACAAAGAATAACACACATGCAGACTTCTAAGGAATGTTTCCACATCTGGTTTCCATTGTGGTTTTCATTCAGTGATGTTCAAAGGTCCAATGTGAGATACAGATGTTTGCTGCAAAATACTTCAACTGAACATTAAAGATTGTTGTAGCGTCTGGACCACTCAAACACAATATATATATTTTGTTAGCTAGATTTAACAAATACTCTGTAACACCCCAGGAAGCCGAACAGGCCCCTGGTTCCATGGCAACCCTGACACCCGATACATTTACGACCTCCTGGAATTTAGGTGAAGAAAATTGCTTTGCACAAAGGTGTGTTTGAACTAAGAATTTGATGTTTCCCTCGGTCAGATCTGTTGAATATGCAAATGGTTCCATAAATTTCATTCTTTATGTCTCTTTCTGTACTGAGTTAAACTTTAACCCTTTCCTATACCAACTGTATGCGTGTGTGTGTGTGTGTGTGTGTATGTGTATGTTAGACCAGTTTATGTGTTTATGTAGGATGTTAGACCAGTTTATGTGTTTATGTAGGATGTTAGACCAGTTTATGTGTTTATGTAGTATGTTGGACTAGTTTAAGTGTTTATGTAGTTAATAAAACCTTACTTGTATCACACTTGACGTGTTCATTGTTTGCTCATGACCGGAGTCACTAATCATGCAGATTTACGCTACAAGCTTTGTAGAATTGTACAGTAAGAAAGTTATTTCCCTTAACCAGGAAATTAATGTTCTTAGAATTGACAAGACAGTTGACCCTGAGAGGTCAACTAAAGATCTACAGCGGATCTAAATATTCATAATTAATTATAACTAGTTATGATTAATTATTCATATTTCCTCATGAGCCGATTCGTTACATTGTTGTGTGGAAATCATACAGATTTAACAAAGTGTTCAGACCAAGTGCGCTTAGAAATGTCACATATGTAGACGCTGAAAAATAACTAACATTTTCCAGTTGGTCTGCAAACTCAAATCTTCAAAAGTAAAGTGCAATGAAAATTGTGAATGATTTTGTTACACATTCATTTATAGTGTTTACCATCTTGTTTTTCTCCCCCAAATCTTAAAAAAAAAATCCCAATTTTACCATACACAGACATGATTACTTTATAGTTTATTTATAATGAGTCTGGTGCAGATTCAGTCAAGTTCAGACACAAACACACCCACACATATACACAATTTTTTCCGGGATAAAAGCTGTTGCGCTATTTACTGGTGCCTTTCTGTGAAAGTACATATGAATACACATTAAACCTGTGGGTGACAAACACATTATGTACATTTTAAAATTCAAGTCCAGCTGAGGGATTTATTGTTTTGTTCCAGACAGTTTCATCATCATGATTAGAGCTGGAGACCAACTCTTGTTTTCTTTTTCTTTTTCTCCTGCCTGTTTTTTCCTCCATTTCCTTCTTTTTTTTTCTCCTGCCAAGATAATCTTCTCACATGCTGAGATGAAATTATGCTTAAATTATTTTAACATGGCAACTGAAATGGTGTGGGTGAGTGTGTCTATGTAGTATACAGCCGAATTTATGTTTTATAAAAGAGAGATAACGATTAAAAAAGAAAGGGGAAAAAGGTATGTCCTACTTCTTTGTGGTGGGGACTCTTACTGCAGATTACATCATTTTGCCAATAGGTGGCGACAAGTGACTTGTGTCTTTATGAGTGAGACTTTATGATTAATTGAAAAGCGCATTAATTCATTAACGAAATAATTGTCTGAATTTGGAATAGCATACTACTCTTACTGTATCTTGATAAGAGAGTGGTAAGAGTTTGCTTGAATGCTATTTCGAACTGAATTGTCTTTATGAGTGAGTCATATAGAATGATTCAATGACTCACTCACAAAGACTTTTGCTCAACCGATTCGTTCAAAAACACTAATTCAAACACCACTGTGTTTTGGTATATTTTGGCTGGCAGAGCAAAACTAGACAAAGTGACTGCTAATATCATGACTGAAACCTAAGTTAATAGTAACTTTTTGTTTATTCAATTGTGTACAAGCAACATCACACTGGCAATCGCACTGTTTGTCTGTATGTGGTCATGTTATTATTGCTTATTTAGACCTCATGCAGTCAGATTCCAGATGTGGGCTTTATTAGTTACTAACGACCAAGTGATCTTCTGGCAGCAACAATATTTGTTTTACAGGATGTACCAAATTGCAAAATACATCAGAACAACAGTAGATTTTCTGTTGACTAAATATAAATGGATTTAAACAAAGTAACTGTGTGTTATTTGTCACAGTTATATCTCTTCCATGCACTGTTTGCTGGAGCAGTCCCTCTGGAGCAACCCAGGGTTAAAGACTTCTCAGGCTCTCTCCAGTTCATTTGGACAATTATATTAAAGCAGCAATTAAACTGACAAAGTACCACCAAGCATTCCATTTTCTCAAGGCACAAACTCCACGTGTTCTCGACAGATACACTTTCTGCTCTAAATTGGATGAAGTGGTCTCATCCTTTAATTCATCCTTAATTTTGTTTTGGCTTGATCTTCCACCTGCTCACTCTCAGTTGGGCCCATCATCACTGATATGATAAAAATGAATGGACTATTTAATGACCCAGACTTTAATTATCAGGCTACATTAACTACGAATGTACTGAATTTTGTGGGACCTGTCCATTATAATTGTAATGTAACATTAACGTTGTTGTTGTTTTTCCAAGGCAAGGCCTTTGAGATCACATATGTCCGTTTGAAGTTCTACACCAGCCGACCAGAGAGCTTCGCCATCTACAAGCGTACCGAGGAGAATGGACCATGGCAACCATACCAATATTACAGTGCTTCTTGTCGCAAGATGTACAGGAGGGACAATAAGGGCTTCATACGTCCAGGCGAGAATGAAATGACAGCACTCTGCACGGATGAATTTAGTGACATCTCACCACTAACTGGCGGAAATGTGGCTTTCTCCACACTGGAGGGACGACCCAGTGCCTACAACTTCGACCAGAGTCCTGTGTTACAGGTATATCGCGTTATTTTATGAGAGCTTGGCTGTCTTGTAATCCAATACTAAGGTTTATATTTAACCCATCTGAATACATCTTTTAGCATGCCAAATATAAACATGAACCATTTCTAATGTAAACCCGAGGCATTTACAGTGCGTATGTGTGCAAAATATTTATCTTCATGGCTTGTTGACAATAACTTGCTGTTTTAGTTAGCGGCTCCTATCCTTTGCCTTTGGATATGTAGATGGGTGTGCTTTGTTGTTCCAGAGGAAAGCTTTAAGGGAAAAATCCCTCACTGTCAAGCTTCTCTAACTTTCGAACTTTCACAGCAGAATCTCATGGCTAAACATGAGTGTACTCAGCATGCCTTGCTACTAAATACAGCCTGCAACCTTTTCCAAAGGTTTCTAGGGAGCTTCTTCTACACAGTGATGCAGTCACAGCCGCCAGATGAAGTTCAGAAAAATACAGGTAACAGGCAACTGCCAGAGCTCTCCCAACTATTAGATACAATATATGAATACACATTTCTGCAGCTATGGACATTTGGTCCTCAGGAAAATAAACACTTGTTTCATTTAGTTTATTAGTTTATCATACTAGTTTATTTGTCTACTAGCAATTTCCAAAGGCGTATACACATACTTGACAGAAAAGTTCTTTCATTTGTATAATTTTCACCGTGTCACTTCCAAAATATCTGAGATGATGTATTGTGGTTACTTGATATATGTGGTGGAAATCGCATTTTTTTTATTTTTTATAATGATAACTTTTTTTATCTTGTTAAATGTATTTGTTTCCTTACTACAAAAAATGTCGTCTTCTTATACAGAAAATATGTAAATAATTTTTACAAAAAAAAATTGTTTTTCACTCTGTTAATCATTTCTATTTGTAAAAATGGATTTTATAGAGCCTAGTTAAATCAAGATATTGTACATAAAAGCCATTTGAAAATCATTAAAAAATTTAATTATGTTGAAGACATGCTAAAATGTTTACAAGACGTCAGAGAGAGAGAGAAAAAAACAATTCTGGCTGGAACATTAAAGTGTCCAAAATGGAAGAATGCCTATATATTAAAGGTCCCATATTTTACACCTTTCTGGAGTTTTATTTTTTGATAAGAATATATATTTGCAGTATAAGTACCAAAAACCATCTCAATATATTTTTACAGCTCCTTTCTCAGGAGCTCTGCTGAGAACAGGTCGATTTTGGCCTGTCTAATTAATATTCATGAGCCTCTTTTCTGATTGGCCTGTTGTGTTCTGAGTGACGCATGGCCAGGCCAACCACAGGTAACTAGGGACAGCCGATGTCACAGCGCTAGCTGGAGGCAGCAAAACAAAGGGGAAACTGGAGGCGGCCCATTCAAACCAGCGCAGATTCGGCTACATAAGGAGCTTAAAATATCATCTTGTTGTGATGTTGGGTGCCAGAATCGACGTAATACAGCCTCAAATTAGAAATTTGATCACATCTGCTGCCACTGCCAGACAAAATAAAAAACAACAGCTGTGGTTAAACGCGATAAAACGAGCAGACTGGACAGAAACGATCGTCAAAAATGCTCGCGATTGTAGGCACACTTCTTATCAGAAAAGGGTCAATAAAGTATTGTCTTTTGTTGTTATGGGCGCGTCTACAGATTTCTTGCCATATGTCTGTTTCTTGCATCTCACGATTATGTCGTGTATGAAATAATGTCTGTGTGCATGTGTATAAAACAACAAACTGACAATTTATATATAATCATTTGTAATTGCATATACATTGTTGTGATTAATTGTGGCTGGAACAATAATGTAGCTGTAAAAATATTTGCGTGCTGAAATTGAAATGTATACACATCTTCATCATGACTAGATAGACACGGTGAGTTTGTCTTTACTTTACATGTTAGATGTGATCCACCTCATAGTAACAATCCTGTCAAATCGTCCATCTTTGAGTGAGAGTGTAACGTTACAGGTCGGCCGATCTGGTTTCATAGTTAAAGTTAACCTTTTCGACATGTTTCCACAATGTTGTTTGGGGGTTTGGCAAAAGGAGAGTGGGACGGTGGGCGGTGCTCGGGGTGGTGACTGAAGGCGGTGACTGTGTAGTTCTGATGCCAACTTTTTACGGAAGTCACAATGGTTCGTGAAAATCACAGCTACTTTAAGCAGGCTGTGTGAATTTTACTGTGGACTGACTGTTTTGAAACTTATATGGTAGTTACATAGCACCTAGACCTCAGTTATCATGAAAAAACCCAGGAAATTTCAGTTTTGACAATATGGGACCTTTAAATAAGGTCTAAATCAAACCAGATTTGACAGGATATTAGATGATCATAAAAATGTTTGGACCTACTGAGGTTTGTTGTGGAGTTTTGAACAGGCCCAATTTAGGTAAAAGCTTTTTCACTTTCAATCTTTTCATCATCCTCTTTTCTCTCACTGTTTCAAAGAAAAACAGCTATCCCATCTGTTTAGAAAAGTAAGTGCCACTAGAGGACAAGAGAGGGAGCAACAAAAAAGAAGGGATGTCATTTTATTTAAGAGCAGAGATAACTGTTTGGTTTGTTGTGATTGAGGCTTGTAGCCTGATGTGTGAAATAGAATCTCCCTATCACACAGATGGGAGATGAATTGGGTTTTTAAAAGGAGTATGTAAGGGGACTCCAGTGGCCCCACAAAAAAGAGGAGGAACTGGAAGAGAGTGCTAGAGTTGAAGTAGTCCAGCTGCTGAGCTGAGAGCTATATAGTAATCATGGATCTGCAAATCATTCACCATCGTCCTATCAGACATTTCTCCTTACTCTGTGTATTAGGGGTGCAACGGTTCTCCACACTCGGTTCGGCATGCACTAGGACCGCGGTTCAACTTAAATCTGACAATGTATCTGTAATATGGTTTGTTAGAGGTCGGCTAATGCATGTTTCTGTTGATGGATACAAATTCTGGCTTCCCAATACATTGCAACAAGTAATACGTGGACAAACCAGTCACTCTTTAATCAATGCCAGTGCTTTATGCTGGAATAACTGTCATTTATGCCGTCATGACGTGTTGATAGCGCAGGTGAGACCTAAACAGCACACGTTGCTATCTGTGTTTAAACTAAACTCATTTAAGCCTTGCCAGTTTAAATATTAAAGAGCTAGAAGACGTGAACTCGCACACGCAGTGAGAAGATCTGTGTGTGCGCTCATCCAAGCACGTGAACTCGCCTCTCAGAACGCGAGCAAATATTAAGCTCGCTGTGAAGTATTGTGTTTGAATGGACAAATTCACACAAAATTTGTCAAAATGCCCATTTTGGTGAGTATCCTAGCAGACATAGTCGGCTGAACAAACAGTATCTGTGCACTGGATCAGTGCGTTCTCTTAAAGTGACAGCACTTTCTTGAAGTTAATTAAACAGCAGCAACACGGAAATCACTCGCTGCTCTTGATTGAATAACTTTTGTAACTTTAATAAGGAATAATTTATACAGTCAAATATGCAATGTAGTTTTACATTTGATTATTTTATTCAATTTATGTACCTAAAAACTGTTAGACCTACCTAAAAAAAACTGAAAAGCACTGTTTATTTTATTTGTATCTTTGCTCTATTGCATTTATTTGTGCTGTTGCTTGTAGTTAGATCATTTGTTCTTATTTTCTGTATTTTTATTTGACAATATATAGTTTTTTCCCTAAACATAGCACGTACCGAAACCATGACTCTAAAACCGTGATACAAACCGAACTGTGAGTAAGTTGATCCGTTGCACCCCTACTGTGCATGTGGTAAGTGAACTTTCATGTACTGTAATGCAACAGGCTACCACTAGCAAGCGGCTAACCTTTTAGTGGCTCCATAGAACACTCTATTTGTGTCACGCTTCGGGCACACCCCTAACCCCGCGCCGCCCCGCGATGTCATCGTCCATCACGATGTTTCACTGCAGAGTGCAGACATCGTCCGATGCCAATTTGGTAGACATCGCCCAACCCTAATACACATACACCCAGTGTGTCTTCCCCTATGGACCTGGACCCTGAAGGCTAAGCATTTACATTTATGCATTTAGCAGACCCTTTTATGCATCCATTTTTTTTTATCCAGCTCAATTCATCAAAGAGCCAGTAATATTCATAATATACAATGTCAGGTTTATTAGACAATAAGATTATGACGCAAGCTATAGAAGCTTTTTTTTGCACGTGTCTATATGTACATTGGTTTAAACATTTGGGTGGTAAAGTGCTTGCAGAAGAGATGTTTCTGTAACACTTTATTTTAAGGTGTCCTTGTTACACGTTACATGTACTTACTATTATAATAACAATTAATTATGCATAATTACATGCAAGTAACCCTAAGCCAAACCCTAACCATATAATAAGTACATGTAATTAATTAATATTACTCAGTACTTAAATGTATAATTACACTGTAACAAGGACACCTTAAAATAAAGTGTAACCGATGTTTCTTCAGATGCTTATTAAAAGATGTGATGGTCTCTGCAGTGCAGGTGGAGTTGGCTGCTCATTCCACCAGACAGGAACAGGGTAAAGGTTTTGTATAGAGTGACTTTTGCCTCATTGTTCATTCCATTACCTAAGCTGGTGGGAGGGAATATATACTTCTAGGAGTGAATTGGGGTAGGGAGGTGCTGTTCCAGTGGCAGTCCTGAAAGCCAGTGTCAAAACCTAAAATGTAATTCTAGCTGCAACATTGAGCCAGTGAGGCTTGTTTTTGTTCGACCTGTTTATAATGACTAATAGCTAGGAATCTATTTGCATACACATGCATCTGTATTGCTCCTCATAATGGGCTCTCTGCAGGTGGAAATGGATTGTCTGCAGACAGAAGAAGAACTAAGATTCTCCAATAACCCCAAATGTCACCCTGTTGCTAGCCTGGTTGTTTTAATTTATTTCCTTAATTTCATTTGATTGACATGAGGGAATGCAGAGAGCAAGAAAGATGGAAATAAATGAGATGAGAGCTGAAAATAATCACTTA